ACTCCGACCTACAACTAGATTGAACAAAAATCAAACCAAAAAACGAAAGATTTCTGTTTCCTCAGTCTTTCTTCACGCCTAATTAACACTGTCCTTTTGGATTTGAGCATTGAAGAATGAAAATAATGATGAATATAAAAAGAGAAAGAGAGAGGAGCTGAAGGGCGTTGAAACTTGAAAGTGGCTGCCTTTCCCGAAAGCATCAACAAGCTTGGTACCGTCCAAAAAGCACCTCAAATTCTATATTCTTTCACATGCTTGAAATTGCCATATTAAATCAAGTATACATGCGCAGCAAGTATACAATTTGAATCTGGTTTCGGGGAAGGAGGAGTGCTGGGATTTGTTCTTGCTGTGTCATTTGCGAAACGTGGGGAGGGTAAATTTGTCATTTTACTTTTACCGGTCAGCTGGGTGTTGATTTGGATGTTGCCCATTGTGTGTCCATATCATTGTCCTATTTAAATTTGAGGCGGGTGAGGAGGGACAAAAAGAAGTGCTCAATATTCCTATTCCATATTTAGATGTGTATATAGGCAAGGAAAATCATCGGTACGCATTCCATGTAAAATAGCCTACAATTAGATGTAGCTTAAAAAGGAAAAAGCAAGGTGACCAAGATCAAATGATTAATGGACAATTGGTTTAAGATTAATTAACTAATTAATTAATATCCATCATGATTTAAGTTAATTAAACCGTTCAGTTCGTACAAAAGGATCCAGAAGCGGCAATAGTATGGTTCTGGAAGGCAATAAACGCAGGGGATAGAGTGGACAGTGCCCTAAAAGACATGGCAGTTGTGATGAAGCAACTCGACAGAACTGAAGAAGCCATTGAAGCTATCAAGTCCTTCAGGGGTCGTTGCTCAGAGAAAGCGCAAGAATCTCTCGACAATGTTCTCATGGATTTATACAAGGTAATTCGGCTATATTTGGTCTAGCCATTAAGAAATAATCGATAACTGTTTTTGTTAGTCGTTAGACGAAAAAGGGTATTTAAATTATTAATAACGACAATACTAACTACTATCGGATATAAAAAATCATATAATTAATCCTCAATATATTTTGGTTGGAGTGAGCAGAAATGTGGGAAAGTAGACGAGCAGATTGAGTTGTTGAAGCGAAAGCTGAGACAAATATACCAGGGAGAGATCTTCAATGGAAAACCGACCAAGACAGCTCGCTCCCATGGAAAGAAGTTTCAGGTTTCAGTCAAGCAAGAAACTGCAAGATTGCTGGTATGTATATATATATACTTTCAAGCTTCGAACTGCACAGAAGTACAGAATTAACCATAATATGTATTTTTTGTGTTTTCATCATGATTCGTAGCTTATGTATCTTACTAATTCATCTTATTAGATACCTGTCAATCATGCTAGTTTTCCAAATTCTTGATTGAAAATGGGTAATTATCTTTTTGGACGTAGGGGAATTTGGGGTGGGCGTACATGCAGAAATCAAACTACTTAACGGCCGAGGTGGTGTACCGGAAAGCCCAAATGATAGATCCCGACGCCAACAAGGCCAGCAACTTGGGACTTTGTCTGATCAGGCAAGGCCGGTACGAGGATGCGCATTCGGTGCTTGGAGAGATTTTGCAAGGAAAGCTTCCGGGTTCGGAGGACTGCAAAGCAAGGAAACGGGCGGAGGAGCTGTTAACGGAGGTGGAAGCCATGCAACCGGCGATGGGGTTGTCGGACCTTATGGGCCTTGATGACGATTTTGTTAATGGGCTTGAGAAGTTGATGAATGTATGGGCTCCTGCTAGGTCCAAAAGATTACCCATTTTTGAAGAGATCTCTTCATTTAG